CCCCCAAGTGCTGGGAGCTGGGGTGGGTGGGGCAGCCATTGCCAGGGCTGGGAGAGTGGGTGCGGGGTAGAACTGCCTTATTCGGACATTCAGCAGCAATCAGATTTGGCCAAATTGATTCAAGACAGTGATCTGAATTACCGAATTGAATCACTGTCCCCCAAATCAGCTGAATCCGAAGCGAATACTAGCCACTTCTCACAGGCCTAATTTTAATGTCACTTCCAAAACAGCATTAGTCATTCTGAAAAATTATAATGCTTCACTCATTAGGCACCTCTGTACTTTGTGGAATAATTCAACTTGCCCTAAAATGTCAATAGAAACAATTACGGACAGCACTTTGTACCTGCTGTCCAAGACATTTTGTACCTGCTGCCCAAAAGGCATGTGTGAAAAAGACAATTTGCTGAAATAAAATTACATGAATAATTTTAAGAAAAATAGAATTACTTAAATTCAAGTTTATTTCTTCACCCTAATGTTGGCAATTTATCAGATTGGTCACTGTATATTGCATGAGGAAGAACAACCAGCAACTTGATAGTAACCTCTGGTACTTATATACTTCCTTGGGACAGGCAAACTTTCTTCCTTCTTCAGAAGGCAGAGTTCCTTTTGTTTCTCTGTGCCAAGTCTGTGTTTTAAATGAGAGAGAGAGGGGCTTCATTTTAATGGTTTATCATTTTCAAGTCTGTGAAACATCTAGGGTAGAACAGGCTCTGTAAAACTGGAAAGAGCAAGTCATTCTGCTTCTTCCAGTAGGAAAATGAAGTATGAAAGAAAATTTAAGGTTTGCAATTAAAGAACTTCTTAATTTCAGATCTTCAATATCCCAATTTTAGACAGATGAAACAGTAGCACTTATATTTTGAGAGATAATTCTTAATATAACCAGCAGCGAAAGCCAAGACAGAACATATCAAACAGATAAAGTAGTAGCAATGGCCAAAGCAGTTATCAGTTTCATACTGAGCCACTCATGTCCCACTGCCAGAACATCACACAACTGACCTGTTTAGAGGTCTACCGATACCCCACCCTTCTACAATATCTTTGGTCTCCCACTTAGTTTTTGCAATGATAGCAGAAAGATGACTCAGGTGTGCAGGACATGCCCATACAAATGCCTCACTGAATTTATCTTTTTTGACAGGTTTAAATGGAATCTGGGGAATGCAAAGGACATTGACAGCAGCCATTTTAAGATTTACAGTTACTCTTCCAATAGTGGCACATACTGATGGTGGCTACTTGGAGTGCAGGGTCCTTGTGTATACAACCCTTTTTTCTAGAAGGTTTCTTCAAAGCATTCTTCTGTTTAACACCAATGCAACTCCACTGCACTAAAAGCAGTTGCAATTCTAAAGGAGACAAAGTTCTGGTAGCCACCAATATTTTTTTTACAGTTTTTATGCAACTGTATTCAGAGGAGGTCCTCTCATCTATGTAACAATGTTAACAAGATCAGAATAGTAAACTAGCTTTCATAAACATTTGAATGCTGCTGTCAAGATTTCCACAGAGTTGTACCATGGCTTTATAACACTCAAAGAACTGTTACAGCTTTTACATACAATCTACGACAAAAGATTATTTCCCTTATTTTTAAAGTTGCATAAGTCAGTCATTCTTTAACCAGAAACACCACACAAGCTTGTGTGTTTGGTGAGGAAAGGAGACGATTAATAACTACCCTTTTTAAAAATAGCAGTAGAGTTGTAGGTAGGCAGGGTATAATTACCTACGATGGGGAACGGGCCCTGACGTGAGGGGTTACCATGCCTACTCTTGTGAAAAAAATTACCACGGTAGCTGGCCCTGATGACCTAGATATCCACTATTTATTAATCTTAATGTCACAATCAATTTCAAAGCTGTGAAGAATTATTTGACAAGGACTAGTTTTGAAGAGTTCATTTACTCCAATTCAGATGCTGAAACATTAATTTCCCTGTCAGCCCTTGGCAGATGAACAAAACAACTCTGCTGTTACTCTCCTTATGACTGGACGTATGTGTTTGATGCCACTCTTCAGTTGCATACAACAGCCATAAACCTAATAAGACAGGAGGACCTGGAGCAACTGAAAAATTTGGGGAAATCCAGTTTGACAGACACACAGAGATGACCACTTCACTGCCTTGTACAATCTGGAAATAGAATCCATTACCCTAATCCAAATGATTTGCACAAGGGTGGGAAAATGAAACTTAGATGTGCAGGCAGACTCACAACTTCAGAGCATGGTTCAAAATAAAAGTCAACAGGCTTGAGCACCTATACACGTGTAGCAAGGCTGCTTGGACACACTGTAATTACAGCGTGTCAGAGCAGACTCGATTGAGTCTGCTGGAGCGTGGCAATTATCACGCTCCAGCAGTCTCCCGTGTCCACACACTGAAAAATAGCGGCGGCGGCGCTTTAACTAAAACTTGTCCAATGAGCTTCAGTTAAGCCTCCCTCCACCCTCCTCCCTTCCCCCACTTTTCAGCATGGGGAAGTTGATACATGTGATGTTCTGGGCGCTTTAATTAGATTAATTACTTTTTAATTAATCACTTCACTCCCAGAGCACCTGTATAAACTCCCCTTGTGCCTGATTCATTGATATCATTATCTCTGTTTCTTCTGAGGGCTTAGTCACAAAACACAGGGCATGCAATCCTGACTGGCATAAAGAGATGGCACGTTTTTCTCTATTTTTAGAAGTATTTTTTATTCTTCATTCGCTGTTAATTGCATCACACAAACAGCAACAGAAACTGACTTTACAGGAAAAAAGAGACAAGCTCACTAGGCTAAATGGTAGCAAATACATTAACTAAAAGGATCTCTCTGTGACCTAACAATTGTATTTGTTTTAGATGCTGCTTGTAACACAGTAGGGAAAAATAAGTTCAGTGAAGCATGACTAAGTTGGTCACATCTCTTTAATGAGCTTTGTCTTTATAGAAAGCAATTAACCCATTTTCTAAGGAAGTTAAAGTTTACCAGCAGCTTTAAAGAAATCAGAAGTCTCTATTGGCCTGGAAGGCAGGAGAGTCTTCTAAGTAAAATTAACCAGAGGAAACTTAACTAGGCTGCTTAAAAGAAACACATCAAGAAAAAAACCTACTAACCAAAATCCTATTTTAGGTCTTATTCAAGAGACTACTTGCCTGAACTTTGAGGAACCTCAAATGTCTCCCTTTTCTAGTTAATTTCTAAGAAAAATTTCCTGGCAGGGCCACTCCTGGCTTAATATCTTTCCTGGAATAAGTGCCAGGAAGTTCTTCAGTCTATCCAATAAGACACAGAGGTGAAGCCACCTGAGAACAGAGCAGGGTTAAAAAAATTCCCCAGGTGCATCCAGACAAGTGTGCATGAGGTATGCATCAGCACAGACTTGTCTGAGGCACCATACATGCAGGCGTCCCTGCACTTCAAAATGGCAGCAGGGGTGCTTTAACCAAACCTCAAACGAGCTTTAGTTAAAGCAGCCCTGCTGCCATTTTGAGCGCAGGGATGCTGATAGACAAGACATGAAAGTTGGATGGAGTGTGCTAATTAGCACACAACAGACTCATTTAATTAATTGAGACTGCTCCAAAGTGCTATAATTACACCGCATTGCAGCAGCTTCTCTGCACATCTACAGGTATCCTTGGTGGCCTCCTACATGAAACCTGATACTGCATCTTATTTTTTTGGCAACATAGTATTGAAAGACTAAGCCTTTCAAAATGCAAAAATGAGGAACAATCCTAAAGAACAGTTCCAATATTGGATGCCTTTGGCATCTCTAAACCTATAACAGTGGCTGACAGGGAATGTACTAAATAGGGAATAGATGAATGCTCTCCCTGTATCTATAGCACCACCCCTGACACTGTCGGAGACAGAATACTGGGATAGACAGACCACTAGTCTGACCCAGTATGGTATTTCTTATGTTCTAATTTCAAGCCAAGCTGTTCCGTGCAATTACTTTGTTGTAACTGAATTATCCAAGTATTTCGCAACCTTTAAAGTACTCCAAAATATTTTGAAAACTACTGCACAATATTTCTAGGAAGTGTACAGTACATCAGCCCTCCCGATTTCATCAAAAGGACATTAGTAGCTGATTGCAGAATATTGCTGCATTAGGTCAGAGGTAAAAAAACAAGGCTTTCCTCATGTATTTAATGCATCTTGAACTTTGTATTCAGAACAGTTAGCTCCTATATTATCAAAGTAAAAATAGAGGCTGTCCTCGATTTGCAACGTTTCGAGTTACAACATTTTGCACTTACAACATTTATATATTGACACCCTGTGTCAACTTTACAAAGCCAGTTTCGACTTACAACACTTGATCCAATGCAATGCCATGCCAGTGAACAAGTTCACTGTGTCACTTATCTTCCTGAAGAACATCTGTCCAAACTTCCTTGGACACTTTCTTTAAGAAAGCAGACAAGGCTCGAGAAAAACCTGCAGCCAAGACTCCTGAGAAGACTCCAGCCAAGAACCCTTCAAAAAGTCCAACCAAGAGCCCTTCAAAAAGTCATAAGTCCGAGGATTGCCTGTAATTCAGAAACCGTGGATTTTGCTAGTTGAAGTTTCCTTTGTATAAATGTTACTGATTTGCCGGTAACAACCTTGAGAAAATTAAAAAGATGGGATGTTCACAATGATTCTACTCTGATTAATTAAAGTGATACTTAAGTCCACTATATTAGATTCATAGATTCACAGATGTTAGGGTCGGAAGGGACCTCAATAGATCATCGAGTCCGACCCCCTGCATAGGCAGGAAAGAGT